GATAGCTCATTGAAATGGTTCATGATGATGAAAGCTAAAATACAAGGTATGAAGCATATGAACTACAGAAGTCATGTATGAAAGCAAGGGGGATAGTAATAAACTCTTGTCAGAAGCATTGGTTTAGTGGCATATGTGAAATGTGCTGGGCTAATATTTTAGATGAAGGCAGTTGTTTAGAAGAAAAGAATCAGCAGGTCACTTTTTTTGCAAGTGTTTGACAGAATATGTACCACTAAACAATGACATAAGCATAAAGATGGGCCAGAATCAGGACAACAACTTTCTTTATTTTGTTAAGGTTTGCAGAAAGGAACTGGTGTTTGTAAAAGATTTTTCATTATTACAGACAGTGTGACTCAAATGTGGATATATCATCTCTCTACTCTGCTTGTAAATGGAAAATCTTCACAATATATAAGGGAGAAGCAGTCCATTATGAGTGCTACATTTGGTGTTGAATTGATGAGATAAAACTATATTGAATCATTTCCTGTAGAAGTGTTGCAGTGTGCCTCAAAAACAGTGAGGTATATAGATTTGTATAGATGTCAAGCAAATGTATGAACTTTTCAACTGCAAGTATAGGCCATCCCGTAGCACAGGTGATTGTTCGCCAGCTTCCCACTGCAGCGGGAAAGGGGAATGAGAGTCATGAATTAGGTACAGTTTTTTTTTGTACATAAGAGATTCATATCAGCAGTGAAGAGAGTCAAATTTGTTAGTGATAGGAAGTTTTACATGATACTAAGAGGTCACTGGTGTGATATCATTGTTCTGAATATTCATGACCCAACAGAGGATCAAATTGATGATATTGTGACAAGTTATCTTACGTCCATCGCCGCGCAACGGCTGCAATGGAAATTGTGGAGATCCCACAGTGACAAATTGCCGTTGAGTAACAACGGATGAGATGAAACATGTTACCTACCTATAAAGAGCGTTCCCGAAGCAACGGATTGCTGAACACGTGAGACCGAACCTTGGCGAGAGGTGTTCTATACTGAGTCCGCAGAACACCTACATAAGCTGAGAGCTACAGACAGCAACAGTACATTTGGAACCTAGTCGCCATACAACACAGTTGGAACCTAGTTGAGATGTCGCAGAAGTCACATGATACCACAAGCGATAATAATTGTATGGTGTATAGGTGTGAGCGTCCAATAAAGAGTCGCTAAATTCGAGACCCACATGAAGTTATTTCTTGCGTGACACACCCAACACGTGGCAATATGAAGGACAGCTTCTACAAGGAACTAGAACGTGTATTCAGTAAATTTCCTAAATACCATACAAAATTTTTGTTAAGAGATTTCAGTGCCAAAGTAGGTAGGGAAGACATTTTCAAATCAATAGTTGGGAATGAGATTTTACACGAAATTAATAATGATAGTGGAGTTAGAGTAGTAAATTTTGCCACATTCAAAAATTTGACTGTCAAAAGTACATCCCACATTGTAACATTCATAAATTTACTTGGACACCTCCTGATGGAAAGACTCACAATGAAAGTGACCATATTTTGATAGATATGAGATGACATTCAAGTGTTCTTGATGTCATTCAGGGCAGCAGATTGTGATGCCACTATCTGGTGGTGGCAAAATTTAAGGAGAGACTGGCAGTGACTAAACAAACAATGCACAGATTTCATATGGAGAGGTTCAATCTGAAGAAATTAAATGAGGTAGAGGGCAAAGAGCGTTATCATGTTGAAGTCTCTAATAGGTTCACAGCTTTGGAAAACTTAGACACTGAGGTGGATATTAATAGAGCTTGGGAAACTGTTAGAGAGAATATGAAAAGTTCAGCCAAAGAGAATCTAGGTTATTATGAATTGAAGAACCATAAGCTGTGGTTCGACTAAGGATGATGAGATTTATTAGATGAAAGGAAACAAGCCAAATTGCAGTGGTTACAAGATCCAAGTGAAACAAATGGGGACAATCTGAACAGTATAAGATGTGAAACCAGCAGGCATTTCAGGAATAAAAAGAGGGAGTGTCTGAAAGACAGAATTCATGAGCTTGTAATGAACAGTAAGAACAGAACATTAGAGACCTGTATAGAGGAATAAATGAATTTAAGAGGGGTTACCAACCTAGAAGTAACTTAGTGAAGGATGAGAATGATGATCTGCTTGCATATTTTGACAACATTTTGAATAGATGGAAGAACTACTTCTCTCAGTTATTGAATATACATAGGATCAGTTTTGGTAGGCAGATAGAAATGCATACAGCTAAGCTGTTAGTACCCGATCCTAGTCCTTTTGAGGTTGAAATTGTTACTGCAAAATTGAAAAGGTATAAATTACCAGGTAGTGATCAAATTCAAGCAGAACTGATTCAAGCATAAGGTGAAACATTACAGTCTGAGATCCACAAACTCGTTAATTCAGTTTGAAATAAGGAAGAATTGTTTGACCAGTTCACAAGAAAGGAGATAAAACTGACTATAGTAATTACCATGAGATAACACTGCTATCATCTTCATACAATTTTTTTTCCAATATTCTTCTCTCATTGTTAAGTCCATATATAGATGAAATTTTTGTGGCTCATCAGTGTGAGTGAGGAATCTCCACTGTTAGAAGCCATTGACAGGGAATGGCTGGTGAAGATGCAGCAGGCTGGGAAAAGGTTTAGTGGGTTCTTGGTGATTTGTGAATTGTGGAGATTAGCGATAATGCTGTAATTACTTGTAGTTCCAAGTGGTGTATAAGTGGTCAGTAAGTCCATTCACCAGTCCATACCCCATCTCAGTCACCCCTCAGTTGTGACAATATTTTAATTTGGGTCAAAGAAATCTTCAAATGTCCCAGGATGCACGTGTTTGTCAGTGTCACCAAGAGATAGTTATTTATGCTCTGTGCCAGTTGATACATGAGTTACAGATTTGTGATTAATGAAAATAACTAATTGTTGATTATATTCTTGGGTCTTTGCACCATTTCAATGTGGACATTGTTGCCGAAGTTTCAGGGGGACATGCACCCTCCATCTTCATTGTTGAAGTAAGTAGGGTAAGTTACTGTATATATGGGTTTCAGTCCAACACATCCATGATGATAAGGGTGAGGGCTGGTGTTTTGGCTGAGTCAGTAGGAACAGTGGACAGGGGAAAGTTGTAAAAATGGCCATCTTATAACTTTTCTCTGTGTACTGACCTTATTGGCTGGGATGGAGCCTCAGCCTTCACCTATCCTGCATGTGTATGTTGGACCAAACCTTTATAGACACACACACGCACAAAGGGGCCAAAAGAAAATGCATACACACTGTTCTACCACTATTTTTTTTCACTTTCCTGCCATATGATAATTGCTCTGGCATTGACTAGCAGCATCTTTTTAGAGAATATCACACTACACACCATACATCACATTTTGGTTAAACTCTGTGGTTGTGTCTGTAGATAACCTCTGTTGAAGCGTGTGTATATTCCCCTCTACCCTTATTTATATGAACACTTAGATAGAATCTCCTCCATTTTTCATAGGGTAATTCGCTAATCAGGAATTAGTTCTCCTTGTTTTGGATTTGATTGAAATGGAGGTACCATATACTGAGAAGAAAACTAATCCTGCTCATATGTGTAGAAAAATACTCCTTGGATCAATTTTTCAGTGATCTTGGAAACACATTTAGATTGTACTCATATGAAATGAGAGCCCAGAATTATTTTCTCTGCTATTATAACATCTTTCTCTTCATGATTGCTTTTATGATTGCTCATCATCTCCAGACAGAAGTATTTCTACAGCATCAGTATTACTCTATGACAAGTCACTGGTAAATACACTCTGAAATCTGTAGATTCCTTACTACAAACACTTGTTCAGTGTTCAGTCCAAGTAGTCAGTCAAATCTTTGTCTTTCGTAGTTGGGGATCCATCTGATCGAACATGGTTTGAACGAGACACTTTTCTAACAGGAGAGGAAGAAATCATTTCACTTGTCACACAGAGCCACTTTTGCCCTTCCTGTCACTGGAAATGTTGACTTCATTGTCAGCCCTGTTGGATATTGTTTCCAGTAGGTCTAAATTTAATTGTCCATGTGAATTTTTACTCCAGCACATTCTGGTTGTTTGTTTGTGAAGGGCGTTGAGTTGCAAGACCCATCATTTTACTTGCCATGATTTAAGTCATTGTCACCCTGGGGGAAGAGGGGTGAGGGAGGGAGGCAGACCTCATGCCAGTTGTGTTAAGCAGCAGGAGACATGTTAAATACTGTATGTGAATGGCTTAGAGCATCAGATACCAGAGTCCTACAAATCAGCTCTTTCTCTGTGGTGCACTTCTATGCAGGTACAATGTTTAACACATGGCCTCACATGTTCAAGTTAAATGAAATTTGGTGGTCCCTGTTAGCCCTGAAAACCATTTTGATAATGTGTCACTCTGTTTTGTTTTTGTATGTAAGTGTATTGTCATAATTTCCTGGCCTAGATTTAGTAATGTGTTTAGCACTGAACTCTCCAGGTTCCATGGTCTTCTAATTGTTTGAATTCTGTAGAATTTTTATATACATATACAAGATGTATACAAAAAATTAGTACTACTCATAAATGTGTAATTTGCATTGCAGCCTGTTGCATGGTTTAGCATGTATTCATTATTTGCCAGTACTTTTCAGATACCCATCATGTTTATATACTTGCTTATAATTAAGCACATATTCTTTTATTATGCCTTATCTGTTGCTATGCAGGTGTTAGGTCTTACACCAGATATACAACTACAGCAGCTCAATAAAGAAATGAGTCCAAAGCTTCACATAACTCTTAAGACTCCTGTCATTTCAGTGCATGTTTTTTCTTCCATATTTTATGTTATTTTCAGAAAGAACCCTAAATCCTTTGAATGGCTTCCAATTTTTAGTCGTCTGTTGGTCCATGAATGTGTTGATATATAGGTATTGTCTTTTTTATCAGACATGTGATTCTCTTTGCAGAATATAAATCTTTGAAACTGATTTAACTCATTACAGAGTATGCTCCGCCAAGACCCCCTCTGCCAGGTGGAGAGTTACCCCCACCTCGACCTCCTCCACCAGAAACAGATGATGAAGATGACATGTTTTTGCATGCACCACTGCCTAACCAGCCAATCATGGTGAGATTGTCAACTATTTTTAATCAATATGGTCCAGAGTCCTTCTGTTAAGTTTATGGTATTCATGTTAAAGCATAAGGTAACTTACAGAAACAGAATTCTCATCAGTACAAGATTCATAATTACTAATTAACTTCTTTTCTTCCCCTCGGCACTACAGCTCAGGGTGAGCTTTGGCCTCCTGAACAATCTGCCTACATTCTTCTCTATTGTTCATCTTTCCTCCCCGTCCTTCACGCGTGTCGATTTCCATTCAATCCATGCATCCAAAGCTGATTATCTGGTTTCTGAACAATTTAATATTTATGGTGTGAGGTTGTTAGCCTCACACCCAACCACCAGCCTGAAGGATCAGGTTATCCCTCCCTGTCTGGCTCCTCCTTGACCTGTCTGGCGTGGGTGACCTACCAGTAGCTACTCTACCACCAGCATAGCTCTCAGGGTCTCAGGAGCACTCAAACTCCACCACCACAATAAGGTGGAAACACCATTGGTGGAGTTAGTAATTAACTACAAAAAATGAAATTTTGCGGATATTGCTTAGTTAGTTTTCTCTCAGTCTTGTTCTCACTGTGTAAGCATGCTATGCAGGAAGATTGAGACTCCTATGGCCAAACTTCAGAAGGTTGTTGGGGAGATAACTTCAAGTCTAACATGAAAATAAATTGATTTATCATCTTTATTTAGTTATGACATTTTGCCACTTTTTAAGAAAATGAAATAGTTGTCCATTCAGTTATTGTTAACATCTTTGTGTATTAGTGCTAATTACAGTGAATGAAAACCAGAGTTTCAGAAATTATTTTTTTTATTTTGGTGCTTACATTATGTTTAATGTAAATGTCTGAGTCTGTAATGTGACCTTGCATACAGTTCTTTGTACTTCTTCACAAGAACTGCTGAAAGTTACCGCCTCATGCTTCACAGCAATGTTGATTGGAGTTCCTGTCTTCAACCATTTGTCCAAATTGGGCCCCAGTGTATCCTGCAGCTACCATGATGTGATTGATCTTGTACTTCTGCAGCATAAACATTTTCTTTGATGCATTCTTGTAAAAGAAAATCAGATTGTTCAACTCAGAAGAACATGGAGACCAGATGATTGGACCCACTCAATTCTAATCCATTTATTAAAAAAATGGTTGTTCAACAGATCACGCAGTGGGCATGAAAGGTTGGAAGGGCCCCTCATGCTGAAATAACATTCTGTCATGAACAAGAAGTACATCTTCCAATAAAATGGAAACTTCTCTTTTAAGGGACTCACAGTACTGGATTTGCTATTGTGTATGGTTCATTTAGGTACCTGTCTATGATCCTGGCTCAAATTTTGACACCTAAATCTTTAATGAAACAAAGTGCTTCAAGTAGCATGAGGATACTTCATTGATGCTCTAAAGGTCTGTGACAGTGGTCAGTTTTTCATTATAAAGTTATTATTTTAGATGTCCATCATTTTGGGTATATATACATTATATGATGTTTTAGAAGCTGGATCTGCTTGCTTCATCAAGTGTAAAAGGTGAAAGTGGCCTACTCAGTTGTGTCTATTAGAGCCCACTGAGTGACACTAGCTCTGTCTAATGGGTCTGACTCGAAAAGATCCTTTCCCCTTTCACACTTTATGATTCTTCAGTGCCCATTCATGTAGGTTGTGGACATTGTTTACTCCATTCCTTGTGAATACTACCTTGTCAGTCCACAGTTAAAAAAATGTGGGGCCTGTATTCATGTAGCAGTAATAAAGGGTACTCCAGAAGTCTGTCTCAGATTAATATGCCCCAGTACTTACTGTTCTGAGCATTAATATACCTACCCAAGCTTCATCAGTAAAACGTTTTGCTGTGGGGTCAAGAACACCATCAGGTACAGTTACAAAAATTCGTCCTTTTGTAACTGCCTTCCTCTGTTGCTTGAGCTTAATGTATATGGCAGCAGATGTAACTTCTTGGACACTGTCTAAGCTGTTGTTGTCTAAATCTATACCTGTTGAGCTAATCATTTCAGGGATTTTTGAGGCTGGTGTTCTAATGTGGCTCCAGTTTTGTTGTACTCTTCCTCAGTTAGCATAACATTCTTTGAAATGTATGTTTTGCTTAAGAAAAACCCAGTTTAATGCATTTTGTCCACTAATTCGAAAATCACTCATGAAGCTGGAACATGAGCACAGGATATATATAGCTAAATTTTCTATTTCATGATGAATACTATGATTTAATTTTCACTTAAGTATTTTGCTGAAAAACTCGCTGTTAAAGTTCATGTTTCAATTTAGTACTGCAAATGAGAACACGAAACAAACTTCCGAATGGCCTTAGATGAATAGAAAATAAGAAAAATTGATGCATATTAGTAAGTCACTTGCCGGTCCAGTGACACCCTTATGAGATAAACAGTAACAGAGATATTGTGTAGTGATTCAGCTGACAGCTTCTGTGCATGTGAATGTGCCACATAAACCATGTTCAACTACAGCTTCCATGTTTTTCTCATGGTTGGGCAAAATCAGTTTTTCCAGTTGAGAAATACTCTGTATATTTAATTAAAATGGAGAACTGATATAGCTCTTGTTATAGCAATTGTCACGTAACTTCGAACAAGGCCAAGAGTAACCTTGAATGCGCAGAAGAAAAATTTCAGACAAGGGGGTGGGTTCGAGGGTGTGAGAAGTGATGGGTTTCCAGTTGTTTGTAAGGCACCCTTGAAGCAGGTTATACTTACGGTTTTTCTATCATCTGTTTAAAAACGTCAGTCGGTGAAAGTGGAAGAACGAATGTTAAGAAACTCCTCCCACCACAGGCTATGCGTGGGATTTGACTAGGAATGCGGGGCCTTGTTCGAAGTTATGTGACACTGTCTGTATTGACAAGAGGATTGTCACCCCCATGTACACTTTTAAAACCAATTTTAATGTTTTAAGGCTAATAATTAACCTGGGAGTCCCAGGAAATGAGTTTTAAGGCCAGACAAAAGTTTGTAAAATTTGGGTTTTGGTAATATTATATTATGTAAAACTCATTAGTTACAGACTCCCATGAATTGACAGTCCTTCACATGGAAGCATCCTCCCTTCTATTAAGTATCAAAGTACAGGAGTTTGTAAAATATGGTTTAGTTATAGAAATATGCCCAGTAGTTTAGAACACTTTCTTGAAATTAGTTATTCAGCTGGTCTCTTCTGCATTAGAATTGTACTATATGCTGCCTTGCTTTCTAGCACAATACATTACAGCTGCATTTAAATTTTTAAATTTTTGACAAATTCTATATCCAATGGTGTGTGAACTTGTTTCTCACCTGTACTTGGATCTACTTGAATATAAGAATAAATTAAATTAAATTGCTCTCAAATGCTGCTTCATTGATTCATAATCACAATTTGGGATAATGCCAGAGTCGCTGGTAAACACTGTAGGAAATTTAAAGGTTCTAATTTCATTTGTCACCATTCATAAAAGTCTGAGAAATGAACACTGAGAGTAATTTACAGATGGCTGCACATGGACTCCACCAAGAGGTGAGACAGTGGTCAAGCAAGGACAATGACATTATTGTGGCAGCCAAGAAAATGGCAGTGCTGATGGGCCGGCTATCACAACTGGTACGAGGAGAAGGGGGAAGCAGCAAGAGAGATCTCATTTCCTGTGCCAAAAGCATTGCTGAAGCTTCTGAGGAGGTAACACGTCTCGCCAAAGAACTTGCTAGGGAATGCACAGACAAGAGAATGCGAACGGTGAGTTACAGATAGTATCTGATAAAGCTTATTTAGAAGATTGTTTAAATGTAAATGTGAATGTTATCACAAAAGATCATTATAGAAGAAGAGAAAGGATCATATTTTTCTTTGTGAGTTTGTTTTATTAATTGTGGTAAATACTTTATGTTTATTTATAGAATCTCCTGCAAGTTTGTGAGCGAATTCCTACTATTGGCACACAGCTCAAGATCTTATCCACAGTAAAGGCAACCATGTTGGGAGCTCAAGGTAAAATACAAACAATCTAACTAGTATAGTACATTGGATCTCAGGTCAAAAATTACTTCCTATTTCATTTTAGCAAAATATGCGAAAGTGTATGGAGAGGGAGAAATAGTTTGTACCAGCATACCAAATTATGTTTTGTCATAGAGGTCTTTCAGCAGAAAGAAATTTGTAGAGTGGCTGAAGACTTTTTTTGTGGTCAAAATGAGACAAATATGTTACTGTTTCCATTCAGTTTCATGTTATGACCCTTTGCCAATTAAAGGAAATTGGTGTGTGATGGGTATGGTGATCTGGAATTTCTTGAGCAGTAGGCTAAGAATTCTGTAGTAAACATTAATTCAATGGGAAGAATGTTTTGAACCATGAATCATTATTATGACATTCCATGTCTGTTTTGGGAGGGAGAAGGACATGGATAACATAACTGTCCAACAACATTGGATTACATTTTGTGGGATAATGGAGACAGCTTAGGTGATGGAGACTAATTGTGATATAGTGGTCTTTGGTATATGTGAAAAAGTCATTAGGTGCGCTGCAGTTTAGTAGACAAAGACATTAGTGACATGGGTGGCTGTGATGGTGTGGGACACTATCAGAACTATCAGAACAGATTGGTGCACCAGGAAATAATAAATGACACAGCAATGTAACCAGCACTACAGGGTAAAAGACATAATTAAGACAACCTGTCAAATGCAATATGCAAAAATTCCATTTTATGTAATGGCACTTGACTGAGAATAGGAGTTGGGTCTATATTTTCCAGCTGTCTGCTTTTGACCTAGCCCCTCTCCATGTGACTGAATATTGACACGGTATTTCACAAATCACTTCCATCACTAATGTATGCAACCAGAAATGAAAGGAAATTATATACAATGAAGGACCCATTGAAGGTTTCTGTGGGGATCCGTGTATTTTACATTAAATAGAATAAAGAATAAATATTGAAATTGGATGTTGGATGAGGGAACCTTAGAATCTAGAAACAATAAATGGGGATGCCGTTACAGAAATTACTAATGAATATAAGGTTGAAAGAAAAAAAATTGCAAAAATATGCAAATTTTGTTTGTTTGTTTGTTTGTTTGTTTATTTGTGATTTGTTTAATGATGCTGTCAGGAGTTCTATATAGTGCTAAATAGTAGAATTATTAGTGAATAATGAATTGGAATGGGTGTGCAGGAAGCAGTTTTGACCTGATTTGAGATATCCTGGAGTTTGTCTGGAGGGACTAAGGAAAACCACTAAATACTTATTATTATTGTTATTATTATTATTATTATTATTATTATTATTATTATTATTATTATTTATTCTTATTTATTTCTTCCATAGCTGTAGAGAATTGCAATTGGACATGTCAAATA